AAAGCTACTAGCAACTAGCGACAGCGATCTGAAATCGACAGTGTGATGATATAAAAATAATTTTTTGTATTAATTTTTACATAATTTATATATATTATGTCGATTATATAATGAAAAGTAATTTTTTTATTTTTTATTTTATTTTCTTGATATGTCAAGTGATTTAAATTTAAAATTTTTTATTTTCAGTAAAAGAAGATTACTATTAAATTTTATTTTATTTTATCGATATGTCAAGTGATTTAAATTCAAAATCTTTTATTTTTAACAAAAAAAAATTATTACTGAATTATTTATATCATTGGCATAATTTTTATATATTAATAAATAAATAAATTTATTATTTAAATAAAACATAAAATCATACTAAAAATAATATAAAAAATATTTTTAACTTATTTTTTTAATCTTGACATTATTTAATAAAGTTTAAAAAGTATTTTATTTTGTAAGTATTATTTATTTTTAATAAATTTAAAATTTTATTAATGAAAAATTTAAAACATCATCTATTTGAGTGAAATTTAGGAAGTGTTGAAAAAGCTCCCTCCTAAACATAACGAGAAGAGAAGTACTATGTATACTTTTTGTTTTTGGCACTTTTTGTTAATAATTATATAAAAAATTATTATGTAATTTGAATGGTCTCAAATTATATAATTTAAAAGTATTAAATAAAATAAACTTTTATAATATTGAGATTATAACTCACTTTAGTAATTTTTATTTTATAATTCATTTTAACATAAATATCAAAATTATGATATTCTAATTATAACATTATTAATTCAATCATTAGTTCAAATGAGAGATTAAACTATTTAAATTTAAAATAATATATGAACCAATAACATCACAAACACTCTTTGGTTAAAATTTTTCTATTAAGAAGCATGTATGATTTAAAAATAAGATTAGTCTCTATTAATTTTGTCTTAATAATATAATAATTATAATATTAGGTAAAATTCTAACCTTCTAATTATAACATAATATTCCATATTAAGTATTATGATATATATAATGTGGCATAGCTGTTCATTTTATCCCTGCCATCTCAGAGGTGAAGTGGGGAAGTTAAAGCAGCAGATGAAATACTGACTCAAATGGCTGTGGCTTTTGGTAATCTCTCTGTTTTTGGTCCCAACACCTCTGCAAGCCTTTCGCCGCATTCTGCGTCACCTTGGGAGAAAATTCCTCTTCTCTTGGTTCGAGTCGACCTCAAATACTTGAAGATCCCCATTTCACAGCCGGCTTTGGATTACCAAATTTTGACTGCCCCAAGAAACCCAAAGTTTTGCTCTTTTTCATCATTCATTTATTGGGATTTCTTGGTTGACTTCTGGCAGTACGAAGGATGATACTATATCCGTATCTGCTCTCTTCAACTGAGGGTTTTCAATTTGTCCTGGGTTTTAAGCTAATGATTAGGAAAAGTGCAAAAGATTGAATTTTTAAAAGGTAAGGGAGCTTGATTAGGAGACTTGTTGTTTCTTTGGGAGTCATTAAAGAATTAAAGGTAAATGGTTTGACTGATTCTTTATTTTTAATTGAATTGAATTCCTTGTAAAGTTTTTCTTTTTCTTTACTCTATTATTTGCCCATAAGGACTGTTGTATATTAAAATGGAAGTTTTAATTCTTCTGTAAATATAAAAGTGGTAGTAACTGTAAAAAGAGTGTGAATGTGCCTTTCCTTTTTCATTTTTTTTTTTTATAAGTTGTGGTCGGATTGTCTTGTAGTGGGGGGTTTTCTTTGTCAATGAAACCTTGTTGTCTTCATTCATGTATAAGCTTTTGGGTACTTTGAAGAGTTAGGACCTGTAATGGAAGTGTACCAATAATGGCTGAGTCCTTGAATTTGGGGCATTTCTGAGAAAGAAACACTTTTTTTCCATTTTTCAGTTCGTCATGCCTTTGTCTGAGCTATATCAAATGGCTAAAGGGAAGGTTGCATCTTCTGAAGAGAAGAACCCTTCATGTTATACCGATCTTTCCTTTGAGTAAGTTCAGCTTTCCTCGGCTCCTTCAAGTTTGATCTTATTCAATTCATGGTTGTTTTTTATTTATATTTTGCCCCTATCTATGTTATAATGCAGACCTGAGGATGACTTTTTTGAGCTAGTATGGGAAAATGGTCAGATTTTGATGCAAGGTCAGTCAAGTAGAGTTAAAAAGTTTTCTACCAGTAGTGGCTTACTATCTCATTGTTTCTCATCTCACTCTCCTAAGACCAGAGATAAAGATTGGGGGAATGGAACTAGTACAAGAATGGGAAAATTTGGGGCAACAAACTCTGCTTTGAATGAAACTCCAATTTCAGTGCCGTCAGCTGTGATGGGTTTGACTCAGGATGATGACATGGTACCATGGTTGAATTATCCAATCGATCAATCTCTGGAGCGTGAATATTATTCTGATTTTTTGCCTGACTTATCTGGTGTCACTGTAAATGAGTCCTCCACCCGTAATAACTTTGCATCTCTTGATAGGAGAAGTGACAGAATCCCATCAGTCAAGGATTCCCGGTCTGTTTCTGTACATAATATTGTTAATTTTGAACAAGGGAACGTGTCAAAGGTTTCTGAACCAGCAGATGGTGAAGCCGCTAGGGGTAGTCAGTTATACTCAATACCATCTCCACATGTTAAACCAAGAAGTGTGGATAGGATTAGTGATGGCATTAACAATGTCTCCAACCACCATGTTGTTTGTGGCGGTTCAATTGGGGTTAGAACTTCAGCTGGTGCTTTTGAGGGAACAAAATTGCAGAAGCAAGATCCATCACCACCTTCTAATGGCCCCGGCCTGATGAATTTCTCCCATTTTTTACGTCCTGCTCTTGGTAAAGCTCGCGTACAAAACATAGGTGCTACAGCTAACGTTGAAAGAATGAGAAGTAATGAGAAGGGCTCTGCTGCAAGTAGTAGCAACCTTTGTGAGTCCACTCTGATTGATTCAAATAGTGGTTTATGGAACGAAAAAGTATTGCTTTCTAAACCTACCATCATGACACCAAAGGTTGATGCAAAAGGATCAGAGGCTAAACCTCAAGAAAAACCATCGGTGGCTGAACTACCTCCTGCCATGTGCCAAGATGACATTCTTATGAGTGATAAGAGCCCTTGTCCAGTTATTGGGGAAGGTGCCACTAGAGGGCTGCCAGATGGTGAAAAGACTATAGAGCCTGCAGTTGCTTCTTCCGTCTGCTCAGTCAATGGTGGAGAGAGAATTTCTGATGATCCACCACATAATTTGAAGAGAAAACAGGGTGATAACGAGGAATCTGAATGTGCTAGTGAAGTGAGTCATACATCACTTGCCATTTCTTTGTCTTTCTGTTCTTCTAATTCATCTTCCCTTTAACAAGAAAAACAAAATTATTTTTCAGGATGCAGAAGAAGAATCAATTGGTGTGAAAAAATCAGCTCCCACCCGACCAGGTACTGGTTCTAAGAGGAGCCGAGCAGCTGAAGTGCATAATTTATCTGAAAGGGTGAGGAAAGATATTCAACAATTATGTTCATGCTAAGAAAATATGTGCCCCATACTATGTTGTCTTGTATGTAGTTGTTTCTGAATTTTTCGTATATTGACTGGTTCTTATTTGGCCTTTTACAAACAGAGGCGAAGGGATAGGATTAATGAAAAGATGCGTGCATTACAGGAACTTATTCCAAACTGCAACAAGGTTAGCACAGTTTTCTGATTTTTGTTTGTTTCTAAAAACTGAGATGTGCTGCCCTTATGGATGTAGAACAAAAAAGCCAGCATTCTATAGTCATGGCAGTTTTATATTTAATTTTGACCTTTGTTAGAACTTATGGTGCTTTTAGTAGTTAAATAGATTGATGATTCAAAAACTAATCAGAATCAACAAAAACTTAATAGCTTTTGCATCTTCAGTACTGTTGATTTTCTTGTTTTGAATTCTCAAGGTGGACAAAGCTTCAATGCTTGACGAGGCCATTGAATATCTGAAGACTCTTCAAATTCAGGTACAGGTATGATATCTCTCCTTCTCTCTCTATATATATGTGTGCATGTGCATGTGCGTGCATGCCTACAAGTTTAGTTTTCATTTTATGAAGGATAATCAAATAACTGCAATGTATCATCTACCAACTTTATGCAGATTATGTCTATGGGAGCTGGCTTATATATGCCACCAATGATGTTACCAACTGGTATGCAACACATGCATGCAGCCCACATGGCACGTTACTCTCCCATGGGTGTTGGAATGGGAATGGCCATGGGTTATGGATTGGGGTTGCCAGACATGAATGGTGGATCTTCTGCTTGTCCTATGGTTCATCTGCCTCCAATGCATGGAGCTCCTTTCCCAGGCCAACAAATGTCTGGCCTCTCTGCTTTGCAGGGAGTGGCAGGATCTAACCTCCAGTCATTTGTGCTTCCGGGTCAAGGGCTTCCAATGTCTGTCCCATGTGCACCAACACCACTAATTCCTATGTCTGGTGGGCCTCTTTTGAAGTCAACCATGGGACTAAGTTCCTCTGGAATTGAAGGTCCTTTGCATAATATGGATTCAAGTATAACTTTGACTTCTAAAGATCCAATGCAGAACATCAACTCACAAGCAATTCAGATCACTGGTGCAGGTAGCTCTATGAATCAGACACTTAGTCAGGTTAGTGCATTTTTTGCTTTTTTGAATAACGTACAAAAGAAAATAATTTGTCCCTAGGGAGATGGGTGCCTTCCAGCTTTGTTTCAGAAATGAGGAGAATGAAACCATTGGCTACATAGGCCATCTGAGAATATAGAACTTGGACCTATGATAAATTTGAGTTTACTGAAACAGAGTGAAAGGGGAAGTTCTAGGATGATACTCAGATTTTATGTTAGTTTATTTTAATATTTGTGGTCTAACTATTCTGTCTTTTGGGAAATTTGTATATTGTTATGTTTGGCAGTGAAAAGCCAAAAATATGTTTAATTACAAAGGCTTTTCTTCTTAAATGCTCACAAATATATGTTACTAAAAAAGTTAACAAACTATAGAGCATCTTTTCTGATAACTATCTCTGTGAAGTTTTATTTTCAACTGCCATTGCATATTTGTCAGGTTGTTTGTTTTGTGAGTAAATTGGATAATAAGTTATCTATAGATTCATCTGGACACTTCTAAGGAGGGTGGTGCACAAGTAAATTCCTAACAGCTTTTAGTATTCTGAATCATTGGCTGGACTAGTGTGCCTTGGATTCTTGGAAGGCTTACAGATGTTTCTTTCATGTGTGAATGATTGTGAAATTGGGAAAGCAATTAGCCTTATTTGATGTTTCTTTGACTATATGAGATGGTTTAATGCATGGTGTTCTTGCTACTGATAAAAGCAAATTAGGTTCAAGGCTTGGAGCACATATGTACGGATGCATTCACTTGTGCGTGCACGTACACAGATGCATATAACATGCTTGTTCTCAATGTAGGCAAGGAAATTGGGGCAAAATAGAAAGAATTTTATTCTAGTATATATAATATATTCCAGAATCCAGACTATTGATTTTCGACTTCTTGTCACCCTACTGCATGTTCTCTTCATAATTTAGGTTTCTTTGCTTTGTTTTGCGTATTTATTTGGGCTGAAACCATTCAAGTTTTACTGTATGTGATTGGGTGTCACAATTCCAGTGCCTAACAACAAATGAAAGTTTTGAACAGCCTGTCACAGTGCAAGATAATAGGCAAGCTTCAGACGTGACTGAAAGTATACCAGTGAGATCAACAGATGGAAATGATAAAAGTACCTGATAGGTCAGTTCAACTTCTACATTCAAATCATGTTTCCATAAATTGTAGTTCAAAGGGTTACAAATAATATATTTGCTTCTAAGTGCAGGTTATGATTGGCAGCCATTTTAATTGAGGAAGAGGAATTAATAAGTCTTGCTTCCTTACAAGATTGAACCGGTGCAATGGTAAATCCTAGCACTAGTTTCAGCACCATACAGTTACAATTTGCACAAAGTTTGGGGGGCTGGAAGTCTTTTTCTTACTTGTGTACATTGATTTACATGACCCTTGCAGTTTTGCAAATAATGCGATTAGCATTAAATGTCTCAAAAACTAGCACGGAATTCAATTATCTATTGTAAACTTCCTATCTATGAAAGTTCTCTGATTTGATAAATGATATACTAGTATTTGCTTCGACAAATCTGGAAGGAATCACTTTTTCCCTTTTTTTAACAATCTTGTTGAGTATAGGAGTGAATTCCATTCATGTTTGGCATGCTTAATTATCAACGTTATGCTTTCGTATAGATTATTCATTTTCTGTATTTGTCTTGGATTGTTCATGAATTAGATTGAAAACGTTGGAAAGATTGAGATTGTGATCCATGTGATGATCACGAAGGAATGTCTCGCCTTTATGAATACTGAGTAGACGGCCTTAATAAAAAAATGAGTTAAGCATGCTCTAGGGAATTCATATTGATGGGGATGGAGATGGAAGTGGTGATAAGAGTCCTCCAATCTAATCAGGGTACTGGAGCAATGATGGTAAGGTGGCAAGAAAGTTGACTATAATTTCCACTACAACACACTAAAGCAAGATATGTAATTATGCAAAAGATGGGGTACGTTTCTAGCAGACAAAGGTTTTGATAATAATTGATTAAAGGCTCTTATCTTAAACCTTTTCATAACCTGATTAGACTTCTCATAATGTTGGCTTGTAATTAAAGTCAATCCCAAAACCTAAAAAAGTCTCATGATTTTGTAATTCATGACATTAGCTTAACCAAATTATAATTAATGATTGTTAATTTAGTCATAGGCTTGTCCACATAATATAATGCCACCACACAAATTAATCTTAATCTTTGTGTCATCATCATTCATCACAAACAATATATTGACATGACAAAAAGCTAAAATTGATGAGTTTGATTGTGATTTAACTTGAAAACTTGAGAGATATCCATGCGCATGTGCTTCTGTTTTTGGTTACCATTGATTATTGCAATCCAAGGTTAATTCAGACTCAAGAATTGTTGATTTATATAAGGTTATCTGCAACAATTGAGTTTGATTGTAGTAGTAAATTCTTACAAATTATACTGAGATGAACTAATAAGCAATAGGTATGTGTTGCTCTTTCTTGTCAACTAGTTGCCTGTTCCTCAAACTTGTTTCTGCTTCATTTTCTCTTCATCTTCATCAAGGAAAATGTTTTTAAGGAATCCCCCCAACTCAGCTCTATCAAACAATGTTTAAACCTTCTAATCATTACAAGACACAGATTCGTTTCTCTGGAGAATATCAAAATGGGGCATTAAGATAACAATAAACAATGATTAATGCAAAATCAAATCGCGAAAAAAATCATAATAACATATATATGTTGGAGTTTGAGGCAAAAGAACAAACATCTTTGAGCGGTTGACTAAGGAAAACAGCTCATGTTCTGCTATGAAAAAGGAAAAAAAACAGGCATGATGAGGTATGCTGATTAGAAGAATCTCAATCCATTTTAAAACCAAACAAGGGATGGCTGAATCAGGACATTACTAGAGGTCAAGGGAAACTTCACAGCATTAGAATTTAGAACAAGAAGACACACAGGACAGCTATATAGCATATTGGAATTATTTCTTAGTATATTTTGTAAACTCCAGGAACGTGCTTAAACTATTTAATTAAATACTAATTAAACCAACTCTTGTTCTTGAGAGATTGGCTTTTTGGCAAGGCAAAAACTTAAAAAAAAAAAAAAAAGGATAAAAAATTTTCATCAGCATTTCTTCTGTCACTCATACAAAGGTATTCTGTCTAAATTTTTATAAACATTATTTTGTACCTCTTCAAAGTATACTTGTAATGAATATATACTGAGTAATGATCCACTCTATCCAATTGAATATATGGCAATTGTTTTCAAAGTTGTTGAGAATACGTTGGATGAATTTATGAAACTTTCCAAACTGATCTTGGGACTGAGAATTACCCCACAAGCTACGAAAGAAAAGAGGTTAGGTATCATCTGAAAGGTACCTGTCACAGAAGCTAGTTAAGAAAAAGCAGAGACTAACAACATAATGTGTATTTACTTCACAAAACAACAACACTATAAGAGGAAGTGAAATTGCTTTTGCTATCATCAATTAATTGCACTGCACTAAATCCACATATCTTAACTAATCATGGATATTTCTTATCTTCAAAAAATTTTCCCTTTCTCAATTTTTCACACTGATTTTGTGTTGGGCATCTTAGGCTAGACTTGGCTGAATTAGGGGTTTGCTTAAAAATCAAGACAAACCACAAAAGCAATTTTCATTTTAAAAAAAAATAAAATAAAGAATAAAAAATCAGCCTTGTATATTATTTTGTCTCTTCTTTGGTTTTACTTGGGTGGAGGTGAAGTAAGATTATAGTTTTCCAAATGCTGCCAAAAGTCTTTTAAGTCTCAAATTTTGATGAGACATATGCAAGTGAATTATTGGCTTCTCCTCTCCATCAGTTGCATCTGGACCGTCCGTAGAAGATGGAGCCCACCTTCCACGCTGACATGGAGCAACCAGATCATGCATTGGACACAAAACCAAATATATATACATATTTTTCCAATCAAGATCTTGAAGGTGACTTTGCTTTGCTATTAATTTGATTCCCTACCATCCTGCTGCTTCATTTTCTCAACTTCTTATCTTCCCTTCTCCTTTCCTCTCTATTCAAAAACTGTCACACTTTTCATTTTGAGTTCCAGCATTGCCACATGGGGAGACACTCTTGCTGTTACAAGCAGAAACTAAGGAAAGGTCTTTGGTCTCCTGAGGAAGATGAGAAACTACTCAATTATATTACCAAGCATGGTCATGGCTGTTGGAGTTCTGTCCCTAAGCAAGCAGGTAGATATCCTTTGTTTCTTCAATACAGGAAAAAAGTTCACACAAAAACCCTTTCTCATATATATATCCATATGCTTTCAGGTTTGCAAAGGTGCGGAAAGAGTTGCAGGTTAAGGTGGATTAACTACTTGAGGCCTGATTTGAAGAGAGGAGCTTTCACCCAGCAGGAAGAGAACTTGATTATAGAACTCCATGCAGTTCTTGGTAATAGGTACTGTTATATATACTACTTGTTTTGGGAACTTTGATCAATATCCAAAAGGTTTATAATTAGTTTGATTGTACTAATTGGTGAATTGTAAGTGTATGTTACTTCATCAGATGGTCTCAGATTGCAGCGCAGTTACCTGGAAGAACCGACAATGAGATTAAGAATTTATGGAATTCCTGCATTAAGAAGAAGCTGAGGCAAAGAGGCATTGACCCAAACACCCACAAACCACTTTCTGAGGTTGAGAACGATAGCAAGGAGAAGCTACCGACACCTAACAAGAACAATGAGAAAGCCTCTGTAGGATCTAATGAACTTAAGCTCGGCGACCCTACATCTATGCATGTGGAAAAGTTCCCAATTGAGTTTTCTTGCAGCAGCAATGGGAACAACATGACGAGTACACCTCAAACTCAGGATTTCTTGCTGGAGAGATTTGCTGCCCCCCATGACAGCTCCACCACCAGTTGCAGACCATCTAATGTGGTGGGGTATTTCCCATTCCAGAAGTTGAATTATGGACCAAATTCTGGACTCTCCATGAATCAAAGTACTTCTCTCTTCTTCAATCCAAATCCATCCAGTTCCTCTGAAATGATTTCTGAGTTCAATTCTCAAACAGTTCTCCCAACCATGTCAAGCTCACTTTTCCCAACCCCTATCCACGTAAAGGCTTCTTTTAGCCTTCCTTTTGATAACCCTTCTTCTTTAGGCACACGCAATATCAATAGGGTACAAAACTGGGAAGGCAACTGCTTCAGCAACAATGCTGGAAGCAGCAATGGAAGCAATAGCAGTGTTGAAGTACAAAGCAACAATGCCTTCTTCGAAGGCAATATCTTCTCTTGGGGACTAACAGACTGTGAAGAATCCAATGCTGTACCCCAAATCCGTACACTAGAAGGTGAACAAGACGACCTTAAATGGTCTGAATATCTGAACACACCATTTCTTCTTGGAAACACAATGCACAGTCAATCATCTCAAGCCATGTACAACGAGGTTAAACCACCAACAGCCCTCTTAGCACCAGAACCAACACAAACAGGCTTCTCAGGCTTCAGATATGTATGCTAAGGATTTCTTCTAAAGGGCTTTGGATATATTATATTTTCAGAAGGAGGTGTGTGCTATAGATTTTTTTTTAATTTTTTTTTATTTTTTTATTTTGTATATGTGTCTTATACAAACTTTCCACCATTCTGTTACTGAGTATATTTTACTTGTGATTGCTGATGAAACACATTAGAATTTGAGAATACTGGAGTTTCTTGTGCTTTGGTTTGAATGAAGTAGTTTTGCATAGAGAACCAAGTTTATGGAGATTGTGACTGTAGGTGTAACACATCCACACATCTTTTGGTTCCCAGGGATTCATGCTTTACATTAATACTATCCTTTTCTCTAGGGAAAAAGACGAATGAAAATGAAGGGACCATTTCTGTTTGTCTCCTTGAGATGGAGATAGCTTTCACCTTTTTGACAGTTTTCCCTAACCTTGAGAACTTGACTGTTTTAAGACAGGGAAAACATTAGGTTTACCTCACCAAGGAAGGTAAAAATAAAATGCGTTAAATCAAAACAGAACAAAGGAAAAGGCATATGTAAGAAAATGCAAGAAACTTCCAATTTTGCTGAAGCCAGAGAGGATATTTTAGTGCACAGTGACAAAATTCATGCATACCACTAATCACATGTGTGGGTCTAAGGGCTTTTGCTTGATCAGATAGTACAGTTTTTTTTTTTTTTTTGGGTCCCTCCAAATTGGCATCTATTTTCATGCTCTATTTCAACACACAAACAACAACAATTATGGCCATATTAATTGTGCAGAAGCAAGCATCTTTCACTTGAAATCCAATCTCTTATCTTCCATGAAAAAGATTGTATTCTCTATAGATTTATTTGGTGTCTTTCTTGATTGGCAGGCAATGTATGTATTATTTTATATACATTCATACCTCAAATACATGTGAACTAAATTATTTTGGGACCCTACAATCATAAGGTATAAAGAAACAAAAATAACGACAGGTTGAATAGGAGATGATGAGATGGCAGGGACTGCTTGATTTAAAAAAGGTGCTACTTGTAGAAAAACTTGAATGTATTGGAATCTTTGCTTTTACTTTCAGATATATTGAATGGGAAAGAATCAAGCTTTTTTTTTTTTTTTTAACATATGTTGATGTATAAGAATGCAATATTGATGACTACTCATAAAATATTAAGGTAATCAACAATAATTTAAGTGAATTAATACTTATTAACTTAAAAACTTTAATTTAAGTCTAAGGTCAGAGATTCAAATTATTGTATCAAAAACCTTAATTTTGGCAGGGTTTAATGAAAAGGAGCCGGCAAACATAGAGTGGACAATCAAGGGGTTAATGATAAAGATTATACTAATTATTGAAGAAAAAAAATGTTAAATCATGGCTATTAGTTCATATGATCAAATGGACGTAAGTAATGATGACAAGGATATTTCTAGCCAGTACATTAATATAATATCTAACACCACATTATAATATAATATAATCAAAAGGAACAATGGAACATGGAGTACATGGTTAATGCAACTTCCTGTCTATTTGGCATTGGAATTTTTTTTTTTCCTTTTTCAAACTGAAAGTGGCCCTCTACTTTTGAGAAAAAATAACTTGAGGTGGGGTGATGGTCCTGGGGGGGACCTCACCTCAGCTCTTGGACCTTCCTAGTTCTTAGGCGGCCTGCCATCTAGAGCACAGGATGCACAATCTTCAGTTTGGGTTTTCAGGTGCAACTTTAGTTTAGATCCAGATTCATTGCTATGTGCAACGTGGAATGTCACCATCGATAGCTCAGTTCAATCTCGGTATCCAAATGGTCCCAAAGCTACTAGCAACAGAGGCACCACAAATTTTTCTGGCAGTGCTCTAGGGGGAAGACTAGCAATTGTTGCTAGTCATGAATAATAAATAGAAACTCTTTTGCAGACAAGTACACTAATCAAATAAAAATGGACAGAAGCAATATATGAAACTTAAATTTCACGGTAAGCATACAACAAATAGAAGAATGCAGCAGGCTTGCTGATTGCATTTGCATTCATCAGCAGTCTTCATTCTTATTGTCTTCTTCTATCAATTTCCATTGAATTGCAATTTTGCAAAATCTGCTAAATGGCCAATGGGATAATACATGTTACTCAGCTAATTAACTTGACCATGTATGTGTGGCTATCATTTGAAAACAAGATTGTGGCAAGTCTTGTCACAAGGGTACGGACAATCAATGGCCTTCACATCTGACCTGTCAAAATACCAGTCTCCAACAGCTATAGCAATTGGCTGCACATTGTTAACCATGAATTCATTACATTTTCTACCAAAGGCAGATTGGAGCAACAGATAGATGGTAGATAGGAAATTGCATTATAGCAATAAAGATGAAAGGAAATTCAACCAAACTGCGGCATATTGATACTCTGTTAATAAACTAAGGAAAATGTTAGGGCTAGAGTAGAGCTGAGGATAGGACTGAGTCTGACTAGATGGCTTGAGGATGCCCAATAGGCCATGTTAGGCTTCTTTCTAATGTTTCTTCGCCCCTTTCCCCCAATCAAACCTAAATCAAACCTAAAACCTTTGTCTGATTGCATGGAATGGTTACATGGATGAAAACAGAACCTGAATGCTTTGTTCATTGTTTTTACTTCACATGAATAAGAGAATACACATGCAAAAGCCACAATATTTCTCTGATGTATGCCATCTGAAATTCACACTATTGTTTTAAACAGACATACCTTGTTTCTAAGGACGGGAGAATCATCTGCAAACCATGTGTCTTGTCTTTCTGTCTGACAGTGAGCAAAACATGAATTTATAAATAAACCATTCTGTTTAGACATTGCAAATCCTTTTATCGCATTCAGCATTTGATTCCTGAAGCCTGTTTCAGAGAACAAGAAGGATAAATATATCTATTATGGTATTATGTATTAAGTAACATATAAAATCGAAACCTAGATTGCTTAAGCAATTTCACATTTCTGAATCACCTTGCAAAAACCGAATTTGCACAGGGGAACATTTTGCATGATTTAACCTGCAATCATGCCAAAATCCATGTGGATCTGCCAATGGTGGAGCGATACTGGATTGTATCTGATTTAAAAACAGGAAGAAGCAACTTATTCCATCTAGCCTAGATATAAATCTTACACAAGTTCCTAAGGGTGCTCCCACAAAGCATAACATTGCAACATTACCAAATGGCAAGGTATTTAAAATGATAATAATCCATTTCCTATTCTAAATAACCATTACCTGCCATGAATCATAGGCTGCATTAAGAATAAAAAGCGGGGTTCTGATGTTACCAATTAAGTTTTGAGGGAAGAAACACTGAATAGAAGATACAGGAGAGTTAGCAGTGAAAATAACACAAATCAGAAATTTGTTTAACAAAAGAAAAAAATTTACCGAAGTTGGATCAAGATGATTAGTGCAAATACGTGGCAGGCTATCTTGCACACCCTGTCATACCAATAAGAAAACATGCATGCCAAACTATCAACGCTTAGTGGAGAAATATGCTGAAAAATGTAACTTCAAAATCAATCATCTAAAGACAAAGCATATAATGTAATCAATCGTCTCACAATCTGTTTCACAACCAACAGAATAGACCCAAAAATTATCATATTGATTTGTGTCTGATTAATTTCATCTGCCTTAGGACTCAACCAAAACTCATTAGATGGCACTGTTAATAGGACAATTGAAATTGTAAAACGCAACATGGCAATATATCCAACCTATATATACATGTACATATGAATGTAGTACCTGCAAGCCCACGACACCATGATACATATTCCTCAGGGTCCGACCACCAGACACATCAACCCTATAGTACCAGACAGGACATATAAAGAAAAATATTAAATTATTAAAACAATCTAGTTCTTATTAGTGCTTTAAACAAGAGCACTAATGGTCTCTTTACTTACACATCAAGGAATAAACCAGCATCACTCAAACACTTCACTTTAGTCATACTTGGAAACAAGTTACTAAACTCATCACAGTGTAAAATAGACGCTAGACCTCCAGCAGAACACCCCGAAAGAAGAGCCTGAAATGCAGTTATTTTTAGTTATAGGAAGGATAAGCATATAGCAGGCAATGAAGGAAATCATAATCAAGGGAAACAAAAACCTGCTTTGCGTTGTGCATTCCCTTTGACATTAAATCTTCCATAGCAGCCAACCAAATACGTTGTCCTCTGAACTGCAGTTCTGCAGCCTAAATGCAAAAACAACATTAAATTAGAGATACAATAAAAATAACATAATAACCAGATGCCTTTTCAAACAAACCTATGCGACAAAACTATAAAGTCAATCTTTTTAACCCAGCAAAAAATAGGTAAATGTAATATATTCAGAGATGAAAAAAATCGAAAGGAAAAGGAACTGAATGTTATGCTGATAGTGATTAACAAAAAATTGGTTTTCCAGGCTTCAATGTAAGGTTGAATGTGACTGTAAGAATCCTGGTTTTAACTTTTATAGTTACACGTAATCATCTTACTAGCTTAGAGACAAACTGAAATGCATATATGATGTGAGAAAGTAATTTTGTCTACCTTATCTTCACTATCCCCAGAAAAAGAGGCACCATCACAATAACGAAGCTTTATTCTGTTCCAGTTGAAAAAATCTGGAATTCCGTATTAAACAAAACATAATGATGGTCAAGAAATCTAATATTTGCAGAACTGGACTACAGTCAAATATTCTGCACATAGTTCAAGAGCAAACCAGGATTTTCTTCAGCTTTATCACTCAATATTCCAGTGAAGGGTATCTGCTTTTCCATGTAAGTAGACGATCCATGTCGGGTCTTTTTGCGGTAAACACAAGTTCTAACATTATTACACCATCCTCCTCCCTGCCATAAATCTCACTTCCATCAGAAACGATCTCTAGGACTGGGATAGCCAGCATCTTGACAACCCAGAGGCAACTCAAGGAAAAACGAAATATTTTTTTTTTCTCATTTTAATAATTTATATGACTTTTGCAACATTCACCATCCTTCAAAAGTGTCAGATAACATGCTAAAATATATAAATTAAACAATTATTTAAAACTGTATGTTTCTATCAATTGAAAATTCTGACAAACCTCTAACTGGATAAGCCAGCTATTTGCTCCTGACCCATATCCTCGATGCAAATGATAACCCGGCAATGTTCCATCCAGACATACTGAAAATGAAAGAAAGTAGGTAATTTAGGCCAAGATTCAAACCTGATTTCAACAAGATGAATCCAGGTAATTTCAATTCACTTTCATTAACAGTCATACCAGATCTACTAAACAAATTTTAAGAGATTGGTTAATAAAGAGAAATGGGGAGATGCAGTCTGCACGCAGAGGAAGGTAAACAAGACTTAGGTTATAAAATAAAATTATTCGATAAAATAATAACCGAAATGGGAAATAGAATAGGAAAATAGAACATAGAGGTTGATAAATTGATGGTACAGAATTAACCAAAGAACAATTATAAAACAAAAACGTTTGACTCAGACTGTTGAACTCAGAAAATGATTGGATGTCAAGGAATGGGAAGAAAACGCAAGACCAGTCAATAAAATCTCCATAAAAAAACTAATCCACAAACCAGCATCAGTCTCTAAGATCACTATTTTCTGTATGTGTTGAAGTGAAATTCAAGTCATCATAATTTAAGTACAAAATACGCAACATAACCCTAAATTAGTAAACCAACAAATCAGATGCAATTTCAACAGCAGGCACAAAAAAGGCATAAATGTATTGCTTTGCTTGAGTCAACATTTACAAACCCAAAAAAATAAAGGGGGAAGAATCTGATATATCTAAATCCAGAAATCTGAAAAAAATAGAATGAAGAGAAACAAATAGCAGTGGTAATAATAAGTGGAATGTACCTGCTCCTTTTGCACCAGCAGTTTGAATGAGAGTAAGGCCGACCATCACAGGATTGTCAGTAGCTTTAGAGACTCCAAATTCATAAGACTCGATATCAGACAGCTCCGTTCCATTGAAATCCAGAAACCCATTAACCAGCTTGCCAAATACAAGTTGTATAACAACTCCAACCCACAAAAGCTTCATCCTTGTTCTCTCTCCACCTCTTTGGCACCCAAATCTGGAGATAAAGCTTGAATCTTACACCAGTATTCTGTAATGTAAGTTGCTGGTTTGGAACTGCAGCATTAATAGCCTAAAAACTGAAGGACAAATGCTCATTTATGAGTAATGAAATAGTCTTTATTAGGAAAGATTGCTCCTTTTAGGAGCTAAACAATGAAGGAGAAGGGGGATGTCACGGGTTTGAACATTGAAGGAGCTGCTCTATTTTTACAGTGGTTTGGAGACGGGGGGAGGGGGGACGGGAGACCAGGGTTTGCAACTTGCAAAGGATGGTGATTTTGCCGGGCTTTTGGGTTTCAAGGTTATTATTATATAGGCGAAACCTAAGTTAAGCCCTTGGACTTATCTCAAAATTTTAATTAAACTCTTAAATTTTTATTAAAGTAAATAAATTCTTGAATAATTTAACTTACTTTCTTATGATAGATTTAGTGTTTATTTTATTTGTATCTTATTTATGTGGACAATATCAATATTTAATATGTAAGTAATGATACATTAATATTTTATATATACAAGTGACATACAAATAGACATTAAATTTATTATAAAAATTGATTAAATAATTCAGATTATCAAATTTAAGAATTTATTTACTTTAATAAAAATTTAAAAACTTGATAAAAATTTTAAGATAAGTTTGGGGACTTCATGTTTTTGCCTATTATACTAGTAAAATACAAAAAAGAGTGTAGTGGAGGGAGGCAAGCATGGAATTGGAGTCTTAGAGGAAATGCTTATGATACAGGAAATGACAATGATCAAAGAGAACAGGCAGTTTAGCAGCATGGGATTATGTGATGAGGCTGTTGAAACAAACTAGTGCTGTGTGGATGACTTAATGGGTGACGCATTGCCAACAATAGACAGACAATCCAACCACAGTACCCTTTAAGCTCTCACTCATTTAGTTTAGGCAAAACAATAAGTTAAGCCCCTGAACCAACCCCAGAATCGCTATTAAGCCCCTAGACTGTAATTGACGCATATAAGCCCTTGAACTCGGGGATCAAAGCAATTAAGCCCTTCTTCTTACACCAACTTAACTGCCGTTTGGGACTGCTCGCCTGACTTAACTGCCGTTGAGGACACAC